TTTTTTTTTAAGACAGAGTCTTGCTCTGTCACCAGGCTGAAGTGCTGTGGCACAATCCCGGCTCACTGCCACCTCCGATTTCCTGGTTCAAGTGATTCTCCTGCCTCAGCCTCCTGAGTAGCTGGGATTACAGGCGCCTGCCACCACGTCCAGCTAATTTTTGTATTTTTAGTAGAGACGGAGTTTCACTATGTTGGCCAGGATGGTCTCGCTCTCCTGACCTCGTGATCTGCCCGCCTCGGCCTCCCAAAGTGCTGGGATTACAGGCGTGAGCCACCCATTCCTGGCCCAAGAACAAATTTTCTGAGAGGCCCTACTCCTCCTGGAAAACATCCCCAACCCCTTCTGCTCCCTAAACCTGACCACCAACTCCATCTACCCTCTCCCCACCTCCCACCCCAAACACCCTCAGCCCACTCTCTTTCTGGCTGTCTCAGGTTCCCCGGGGATCCGTGCTCCCCCCCGCGACCATCCATCTCTGTTTCCCCTAAGCCATACCGGGTTGAAGACTGGGGGTCCTTCCATGGTCTGTGAAGTGAGGAAGAAGCGATATTATTCTCCAAGAGTCAACAGATATCTACGACACACCCATTAGACTCCGGCGTTTCTGTAGGTGCTGGGTTAGTACACCTGGGGCTGCAACCCCTCTTAGCTTCCCCCACCCCAATTCTCACCGTTCCCACTCCCCACCCGGGGGCATCTTAACCCTCCCACTCACGGGCAGGCTGTTCAGCTGTTGATGGCAATGTCCGGGACCCTGAATGATGGACAGAAGGCGGGAAGGGTAAGAGGGGCTGAGGGACCCCCACTAAGGGGGAAGACCCTCACCCGTCAGCAAGTACTTACAGGGTAAGGTGGCATCACTGGGGGTCCCTGTGGGCACAGAAAGAGAAAGCGGTTATGAGAGGGTCCCCACATTTGGGACTGAAAGATGTCGAGGGTGCCTGCCCTGGGGTGGCCCACCACCACCACCACTGTGCCAGGGAACTCTGGCATCAAAGGGTGGCACCCCAATCACAGATTCATGGAGAGGGGGACCCCATGTTGAGGGATTGCTGATGCCCAGTGAGTCACCCCAAAGTTGTAGGACAATGCCTTGTCCATTCCGTTCTCTGTACCCTTCCCCATGCTGTTCTCCTGCCGTCCCGGGGCCCTCACTCGCTGACCTTCATCTCAGTTTCCGCCTCTGTCTCTGTGTTTCTGTCTCTCTCTCTCTCTGTCTTGGCCACACCTCAGCGCAGGGGCTTCCTTCTGCCTAACACCTTTATTTATTTTATTTTATTTATTTATTTATTTGAGATGGAATTTTGCTCTCGTTGCCCAGGCTGCAGTGCAGTGGCACAATCTCGGCTCACCTCAACCTCTGCCTTCCGGGTTCAAGCGATTCTCCTTCCTTAGCCTCCCAAGTAGCTGGGATTACAAGCATGCGCCACCACGCCCGGCTAATTTGGTATTTTTAGTAGAGACAGGGTTTCTCCATGTTGGTCAGGCTGGTCTCAAACTCCCGACCTCAGGTGATCCGCTCGCCTCAGCCTCCCAAGTCTAACACCTTTAACTTTTACTCTCTGTCTCTCCCTTTCTCTCTGTTTCCTCGTCTTTTCTCCTCCTTGTAATCAACTCCTTTCTGTCTTGACTTCTATTCTCAGCCAGCTATCCCTAAAACCCTTTAAAAGTAGCTTTATATAGCCGGGTGTGGTGGCAGGTGTCTGTAATCCCAGCTACTTGGGAAGCTGAGGAAAGAGAATTGCTTAAACCTGGGAGGTGGAGGGTACAGTGAGCTGAGATTGCGCCACTGCACTCCAACCTGGGCCACAGAGCAAGACTCCATCTCAAAAAA